ACTATTAGAGAATAATGTTTATTTTTGGGTACTGTAGCCACTCAGCAGTTGGCTTCACTGTTATATTTGTAGTTGTTTATTAAAAGCCATTAAATCATGTTATCAAAACCCAAGATTTTGTTTTCTTCAAAATAGACGTTATGACAGTGTTATAAATCGGCTGTACACTGGTATTCAGTGTTATTCTTGTGGAATGAGGTTTACAACATCACAGACAGATGTATATGCAGATCACCTGGACTGGCATTACCGGCAAAATAGAACTGAGAAGGATGTGAGCAGAAAAGTCACTCATAGACGTTGGTACTACAGTTTAACAGTAAGTAATCTATTTGCCTTTGAACTGTCTTTTAAGGCTTAAATTATGTCATTCTAAAAGTATAAGTGTAAATAATTGCTAGGAGCTAATTTAAGCTTTCTGAATAAAATTTTACCTCTAGGGTATCATTTTTTAAATAAAGGAATTTTGAAGAGTATTTGATTTTCATTGAAACTAGAAGTACACAAGCTTTTTCTTTTCTTTTTTTAAAAAGATATATTTATTTATTTGAAAGAGTTACAGAGAGAAAGGGAGAGAGAAATCTTCCATCTGCTGGTTCAATCCCCAGTGGCTGCATGGAGCTGGACTGGGCCAGGCCAAAGCCAGGAGCTTCTTCCCAGTCTCCCACATGGGTGGCAGGGACCCAAGCACTTGGGCCATCTTAGGCTGCTTTTTCCAGGCCATTAGCAGGGAACTGGATTGGAAGTGGAGCAACTGGGACAAGAGCCAGTGCCCATATGGGATGCTGTTGCAGGTGGTAGCTTTAAAGACTTGCCAGCCACAATAATGGCCCCACACAAACTCTTTCTAAAAGTTATGAAATTCCAAGGCTCTGTGACTGATTATTATTATAGAAAATTGTACATGATATTTCTCTTAAATTAGTAGTTATAACTGGAGTTAATGGAAAATTAGTATCTTAATTGTTCATTAGTTGCTAAATGTTGTCTATTATTCTGTTAGTTATGGGGCTGAAAGAGAAAGTCCAGTTTTAAATAATCACTTTTGGAGCATATCCTACCAGAATGCACCCTTACCTATAAAAAGCATTATATTGAAGCTGTGCTGTAAAATTTACAAATGAAAACATTTAAAAACATGAATTCTTTTTAAGGACTGGATAGAATTTGAGGAAATAGCTGATCTAGAAGAACGTGCAAAGAGCCAGTTTTTTGAAAAAGTCCATGAAGAGGTTGTGCTCAAAACTCAGGAGGCTGCTAAAGAAAAGGAATTTCAAAGTGTACCTGCTGGACCAGCTGGAGCAGTTGAGGTTAGAGAAGAATGTTTACATTTTCTCCCTTTGGGTGTGTCTTTCACTTTTTTCAATAAATAATCATAAAAACATCAGTTTATTTACATCCCTCATATTTTAAGATTTCCTTTACGCTTACTCTATTTGTAATTTAGCTTTTGAGTTTTATAACCATCGTGGTTAGATATTAGCAGTGACTAACAGCAGTGAAATGTTAACTTGAAGGTTGGCAGATTATTAAAATTTCATTAATATCTGTAGAATGCTCTTAAATTCCTCACTCAACAGAATGTTTATATATATTTACTTAATGGGATTGTGTTCTGTCATGTAAATTTTATTTTATGTGATTTTGTTTTAGAGCTGTGAAATCTGTCAAGAACAATTTGAACAATACTGGGATGAAGAAGAGGAGGAATGGCACTTAAAAAATGCTATTAGAGTAGATGGAAAGGTAATTGTGACTTTTACTCTGTAAGGAAGTAGTAAGATTGAATTTTTTTGTTGGGATAGGTCACTACTTTGAAAGGCTCATAATTGTTTCTGGTGTTTGGTCTTAAAAGGGTACTGGACTTTAGAGTCAAGAAATGTTTGAGTTGGAAAGGATCTTAGCAGTCACATACACACACATATACACATGAGATTGCATATACACACATATAAATATATATGTGATTGCATAGTAAATGATAGACCCAGGTCTGAGTCTTATGAATCTATATAACCACAATATTTTGATTCTCAATTCATATTTCATAATCAAAATTGAAAACAAACCATGTTAGGCTAGATTTTGATTTTCAGTTTGTATTTCATCATCAAAATTGTAAACAAACCATGTTAAGCTAGATACTTAAATGTATAAAACAAGTTTAGAGAATCAGTTTCTCAAACTCTTTATTCACAAGGGTGAAAATTTTATCTATTTTGGTGAACAAATGGTTTTTGTCACCTTTTCAGATTGTCTTACTAATTTAATAACAGAAATCATATCAAATAGCCATTACAAATGAATATGCATTTGAAGTTATTTTTCTTTTTCTTCAGATTTATCATCCATCATGTTATGAAGATTATCAAAATGTAAGTTGTTTACTGTGTTTATTCTCATTTACATGTCTTCAATTATTTCTTGCATCAGAGATGCTTTTAATCTTTTTAATATATTGATCCATTTTTTGTGTTTTGATGTAGCATTTAGGTTGTTCAGTAAATACTGGTGCTAGATAGGACTGATATACATGAATGGGTCATTTTCTATGAAATGCAAACAGTTTAAATTTTGAAATCAGTATCATTCCTTGTGTTCTAGGCACTTAAATCTTGATATCTTTTACTAGACTGTTAATAGACACAGAAAAATGTGAGGTAAACTGAAGATGAGAAGGCTCATGATAGGATAGGTTTCTATAGCTATGGTTTATTTTTTTAATATACTCTATCCAGGAATGAATTTTAAATGAAAATGACCACATGCATGCAATCTGAAAGACACCAATCTCGGCCTTTAAATTCACACATGAAGATGTATTTAAAGGTTGTGGTTTCTTAGGATGTTTTGGTGGTCTGTAGGCATTTAAAAAAATCCTCAGTTCCTGCTTTCTACCAGTGAAGAGGAGGCAGGAAGCATTAGCTCCATTGATTGGGTTCCTGCAGCCCACATGGGGAGACTGGGAATGCATTCCTGGCTCTTGGCTCCAACCCCAACCCAGCCCTGGTCATCTAGCCTAGGCCATGTAGGGATTTGGAAATGTACCAATGAATGGAGCTCTCTGTCATTGTGCCTGTCTCTAAAGTCACAAAAACCCTAGGGTTACCATCTACGTAGGGATTATAGAAGTATGTCTAATCATGGCGTGTATCTGTCCTTAACTCATTGCTGAGTATGGCTGCCTTTATGGCAAGTTTTGTGGGAGAGCAGGTATTTCAATTGCATCTGGTTTTTATGTTCTTTGCCTTTACAAGGATCCTATAGCTTGTCATTTAATGTGATTTTTAACTTTCATTAGTACTAATAGGGTTTTTCATTTTGTAGACATCTTCATTTGATTGTACACCATCTCCCAGCAAGACACCAGTTGAAAACCCATTGAACATTATGTTGAACATTGTCAAAAACGAGTTGCAGGAACCCTGTGAAAGTCCCAAAGTTAAGGAAGAACAAATTGATACCCCACCAGCTTGTACAGAGGAAAGCATAGCAACACCCACTGAAATTAAAACAGAAAATGATACAGTCGAGTCCGTTTAAATAAAATGAGAAAGGTATGTTTTTCTTTTTTAAAAAAAAAAGCTGCTGTTGGATCTAGAAGGTGAAGAATTTTTTTATGTATATATAGACATAAATCTATATAAATTGTCTAGCTGAGGCAGGGCCTTCAGCTATCATTTGGTTAATAAATACATTTTAGTATTTGCATTTCCTACTGCCTGCACAGTTTCAGGTGCTTGTTGTGTGAAAGTTCTGTAGATGTGTGCAAATTTAACAAAATGAAATTGTATGTGTAAAAATGTACGATTTTCACTTGTGAAACTGTAAATTATAAATAAAAAATATTTTTGCTATTCATGGAGTGTAATATTTATGCACACCATCAAATAAAGACAGTGTTTCTGTACTTTTTATTGGGTGAAAATGGAATTGAACAGCAACCTCAACATAAGATTCTTTTCTAAGTAGCTTCCCATGATTAAAGCAGCAAAGTCTGAAGTTTTATCTTTCAAAAGGGGGTTGTGAGAGAGCACTGAAGGACTTTGCTCACAGAAAAGCCAGATTTGAAAATTTTAAAAAACCAGAGCATATTTGTATATATACATACCTGTATATATATATCTCCAGCTTAGAGAACCATCCAGATGTCCATTTTTGGAGATATCTAATGAAGCAACTTTTATTCTTGAACATGGACACTGATGTCATCAAATGATTAACATATATTTAAGTACTAAAGGTGATTTTTTTTTAAAAGATGTTTTTCAAATTGTCAAACGATTTAATGCAGATGAACATATTTCTATTTTAAGTTACAGGAAAATCTGTAAGAGCATTCATTTCAAACCTGGTTAATTTTTTCCTTTGTTGGTTTTGACTGAAGTAGATGGATACCATGAGATGTTAATATTCATACATGTAATAAATAGAATGATGAAGAAACTTCCTGCTTGTATTTCTTTATTTTTGAGTGGATTTAGAATGTGACATTTTCTTATGTTTTCCTTTTGTATCTGTTCTTTAAAACGTGACTGCGGTACCTGCCAGGCAGATTATTGGCAGGTACTAAGAGACTTTCTATATGTATTTTTCTATTGCACAACCAAACATGGTAGATGGTATTCCTAACTTTACAGATGACACATACTTAGAAAGTTATTTAAAACTGGCTTCTCATTTTATTCCACATGATTTCTGCAATTAAGAAATCCCAAATAAATGCTATGATAGAAATAGACATACCTAACTATCTGGAGATAGGTTAAGGAAGATTTCACAGAGGTATAATCTTTGAGGCTTGGAGGATAATGAGGGGTGGAATCTACATTAACAGGAAGAGTATCTTTGGAAGATAAACAGCAAAGTTGATTTTATATAGCTAAAATCCAGTAATTTTGAATAGAAGATTATGAAGAGCCCTTGTGGTTTGTATCATGCTGATAAACACATTAGCCACTTGACATTTTACATAAGTGACATCCTGTTGCACCTAAGAGGTTTTTGTTTTTTGAAAGAATCAGTAAAATTAAATTTTAGAGATGATCACATTCTGCAGAGAAGCCTATTGGATTTGATTTTAAGCACATTATGTAATAGCTGAACTTACAGATATACATGATCACTGCTATGATAGAATTGTTGGTATCTGTGAACCCAAAAATATAGGTATGAACAAAAATGTTCAAAAGGATGGCTACATTTAAACATACAAGTGTAACAAGAGTTATGCACATAGAGGGAGGAGGGTCTAGGACAGGTCCCTGGGAACAAAGACTGGTGGATAGGGAGGTAAGAAAGAAGTGAATGGACAAACTGGTAAAACAATTTTCAAGGGATGGCTAGTCAACAAAATACAGTAAGATTAGAACAGAGAAATATTCTAAGAACAGCTGAATATGGGTACCAAAAATAGGTGCAATGGGTAATGAGGATGGAGATAACAAAAGAGCAAGAATTACAAATTTATGAAATTTATCTGTAGAGATTAAATTGTAGTTAGAATAAAAACAACTAGAGACATTAGCATGTCTATGAAGTTTTTCAAAAAATAAGAAATTTTATTAAAAGATGTTTTTGGTGCCAAAATCTTTGAAGTCTGTTTTTTTCATAAAACATATTTTCATGAACTCTGAAGACCTCTGTGTGGGTGGATTTCAAAAATTTTGTCACCAAAATTAACTTTTAATTTCATTTTCCACAAAATTTTTGAAGTACTTACTCCAGTATGTTAAAAGGAGTTCAGAAGATAAAATTGGGTGGACAGAAGTGACTGATAACAATGGCCTCAGGCTGGAATGAGATGGTATTAATAGCACAAGAAGGATTAGCTTTGGAATGACAGACACAGTACATTGCCTGGGGTGATCACTATTAACAGGTAGGAGTTCAGCTCCTACTTTCTCTTTGAGGTAGGAGGTCAGATGTAGTGATCTGAATATGCCCCAAATTTGGCTGTGCATTAGAATGTTAAGAGATTGTTCATCTCTGAAGAGTGCCATTTATTCTCATTCTAGGGCACTTCTAACATGGAGAGCTGTCAAAAATTCATGGGAAATATATATCATAAGGAAATTGGCTTTCAAAATATTTTTGCACTAAAACTAACCTTTTAATTCCATTTTTCTGTGAATTTTCTGAAGTATTTAAGATGCTACAGAGTTGATCTGGTAACTAATTCAGAAATCAACACCAGATTTTAGCCCCCAAAAATGTAAAAGTAATATTCAATATATAGCTCTGGAAGCTAGAGCTAGTAATCTGCACTGGAGGTGCGGCAAGGGAGGCTGAAGGAAACCCCAGGGAAGATGGAATGTTGTCTTTTGAATTAAGAGTTGGAGTTTGTGAGTACAAATAATAGTAATACTGTTTTTTTTTTTAATTCAGACATTTCATTATAACTGTTGCCATGGTTTAATTTTAGTGAAGTGTTATTCTCATATTTAAAACTTTCAACTTTGATGCCTGGAAAGTAATCATTTACAACTAAAAATAAGTTTTGGGGAAACAAATTACGCAGTGAAAATTAAAAACTCATCTAAGAGCCTAATCCAAAATACAGGATTCTGAATTCTCTTTGTTTTCCAGTTGGCTGGCCTTTTGCATCAAGTAAGTGTCCTGGTAGAGGTATATAAAAAATATTCAGGAAGATCTATGGAGAGATCTAACCATGCCTATAAATGCAAAGATACAGCTGACTAAAAGGTAAATTGGAGGCAGAAATGGGAAATCAGGAGGGTAATGTCCAGAAAGGTCCTGAACTTCTCTAAAGAAGTGGGAAGTTCTCTTCTAATCTTAAATAGGGTCAGCTCTCTGAGATGAGGGCACTTTGAAGGACAGGTAGGGGCTGACTAAATAGATAAAAAGTATCCCTGGGGTGCTGATTTATGTAGGAATAACAAAGATATCTTGCTTATCCCCCAACTTTGGAAAAATGGAGAGGCAGAAGACTAGACATTTTCTCCGGCGCCGCGGCTCACTAGGCTAATCCTCCGCCTAGCGGCGCCGGCACACCGGGTTCTAGTCCCGGTTGGGGCGCCGGATTCTGTCCCGGTTGCCCCTCTTCCAGGCCAGCTCTCTGCTGTGGCCCGGGAGTGCAGTGGAGGATGGCCCAAGTGCTTGGGCCCTGCACCCCATTGGAGACCAGGAGAAGCACCTGGCTCCTGGCTCCTGCCATCGGATCAGCGCGGTGCGCCGGCCGCAGCGTGCTGGCCGCGGCGGCCATTGGAGGGTGAACCAATGGCAAAGGAAGACCTTTCTCTCTCTCTCTCACTGTCCACTCTGCCTGTCAAAAAAAAAAAAAAAAAAAAAGACTAGACATTTTTACTAACTGGAACCATAGCCTCCTACTCCACAAAGGATTCCTCTGAAATGCTGGATGCCCATTAGAGAAATTTCCTTCAGTCACTTACTTTGAAATCTTGTACAATCTGGCTTTTGCGTTTGACAATTAAAACAGCTCTCCTTAGTATTATCAATAAATCCTTAATGAAACCAGTGTATTTTTCTTAGCTTAATCTGTCCTGGCCTAATGCCAGCATTGTGCTGCAGTGGGTTAAGCCACTGCTTCAGTGTCCATTTGAGTCTTTTTTTTTTTTTTTTTTTTTTTTTTAAAGTCAGAGTTACACAAAAAAGAGGCAGAGATAGACAGAGACAGAGAGAGGTCTGCCATTCACTGGTTCACTCCCCAAATGACTGCAACAGCCAGAGCTGAGCTGATCTGAAGCCAGGAGCCAGGAGCTTCTGGGCCTCCACACAGGGGCCCAAAGCACTTGGGCCATCTTCTACTGCCTTTCCAGGCCATAGCAGAGAGCTGGATGGGAAGAGGAGCAGCCAGGACTCGAACTGGCACTGGCTTCACCCCCATACCACAGTGCCAGCCCTTCCATTTGTCTTGGCTGCTCAGCTTCTCATCCAGTTTCCTGCTAATGGGCCAGAGAAGGCAGTGGAAGATGGCCCAAGTGCTTGTGCTCTTAGACCTGGATGGTGTTCCCCGCTCCTGGCTTCAGCCTGGCTCAGACCTGGTTATTGCTGCCCTCTGGTGAGTGAACCAGTTGGATGCATGATCCCTACCCTCCTCAACCCTGCTGCATTTCAAATAAATAAATCTTAAAAAAACTAACTTCTTTTACTTTATGCGACAATTCATGTTTTTCTTTATTTTTACTATGGATTAAAATTTTTCAATAATGCCAATATAAAAAAGTCTTACACCGGGGCCAGTGCCGTGGCTCACTTGTGTAATCCTCCCGCCTGCAGCATGCGCCGGCATCCCACATGGGCACCGGCTTCTAGTCCCGGTTGCTCCTCTTCCAGTCTAGTTCTCTGCTGTGGCCTGGGAGGGCAGTGGAGGATGGCCCGAGTGCTTGGGCCCCTGCACCCGCATGGGAGACCAGGAAGAAGCACCTGGCTCCTGGCTTCGCATTGGCGCAGTGCCGGCCGTGGCGGCCATTTGAGGAGTGAACCAAGGGAAGGAAGACCTCTCTCTCTCTCTCTAACTCCGTCAAATAATAATAAAAAAAAGTCTTACACCTACCTTCTATAAAGTACACAGAATTAACAACTCAAATTTATTTTCCAAATTAAAAATACTTTTATAAACTTTTAAAATTATATTGTTTTGTGCCTTTTTTTCATCACCTACATCTTAAAATTCTTTCCATGCTGATTAATGCATAGATCTGCATTTCTACTAGTATAATTTGTATTGTGTAAGTGTGGTATAATTTATTTAGCCATTATATTACTTATGACTATTATCAAATATTGTAGTGAGTGAATGAGCAAGTTATTTTGAAGATTTTACAACCAGATAGTATCTGGCTCATAGATATTGTATATTCAAAATTTTGACAGGTTTAGGGTTGTTTGGCTTCTGCCACCTTCATAGTTAAGAAGCACATTACTCTTCTTTATGCTTTGTTCATGGTGCCTTTTGTTGGGACCAAACTATTATGGGACATTCTCTTAACACTGCTAGTGTAAGGGCTTAAAAATAATTCACTTCTGATTTTTGAAATTTCCTTCGAACATGTACCCTTTTTGTAAATTTTTTTTTCTGTCAATTTGCTAATAGTATCTACTTATTGCTCTTTTCAAATATTAGCTATTATGATCAATTTTGGTTTTATTAACTTTTGCTTTTATTTTTAAATCCTTTTACATTTATTTTGGGACATTTTGGTTTTTGTACTTTCTGATTCTTCCTGTCATTCTTTTAGTTTATTCACTCCATATAACACAGCAAAGAAAATTTAAAGCCTTTACCATTCTTAATTGTGACTACAAGCACTGTACTACTTTGGAATCAGTCATAGTGGCTTCCAACTCCCCAACCCCTACTTGGGTGATCTTGGTCAAACCTGAGTTGTTTCTTTATCTGTAAAAATAAGAATACAGATTAAGTTCAAAACTATAAATCATTAAACATACAAACTTGCTCACCTTAATAATAAGTCTGAAAGACAAAAAAGCCTCAGGTGCCCTATTTCTGAAAATGAGATTGGGATGACTAATCACAACTTTTGACAGTTGAAAACTTATTTACATCTGTCTGACAATACATCAATCCACCCACTCAACCACATGACAGTTACTAATTCCTTCCCTTTGAGAGAATATTCGAGAAGTTAGAAATGCCAGGATCAATAAAATACAGTCCCTCCCACTCAGAAGCTCAATCTGCGAGAGGAATGAGAATCGACTGTTAACTAGGTAATTACTATAAAGTGTGATAAATGATCTAATAAAGGCTGTGGGAATTCAAACTTTGAGGAGCATGTGCAGAAGAATCAAATACCTACCTTGGAATCCTAATTCAGGTATTTACTACTCACTAGCTGTGTATCTTCAGGAAATTGTATCAATTTTTCTGTCTGTAGAAAGGAAGAGAAATGCCTATTCTGGCAAGTTATAAAAGGTTAAATAAAAAAAAAAAAAACTAAACAGCATTTAGGACAGCGCCAGATTGAGCACAGGAACTAAATAAATACAGTTATTATAAAAGGCTATGGGAGTTAAAGTCAATTTTCTGTACCTCATGAGAAGTAGATCAGGGGAATTTTCCAAATGTGTTCATGGAATCAAACTGAGGGGAAGGCTGGGTAGCTTCCTGGCAGGAAAAACAGCATACGCTAGGCACAGACTATGTTTCAAGGATCCCAGCATATCTTTCCTGAGGGAGAAAGAAGTGTGGTCAGGAAATAAGCGTAAAAACCTGATGAGCAGGAAGTCAAGGTGGGTGATGGCTCTGGAGGGCAGAGAATTCTGATTTCTGTATTCTCAGTTGTTAGCATAAAACCTGACCCATGTTTGCTGCAAACAGTGAATGGAACAATACATGTTAAGTAAAGGAGTCAGAAGGAAAGATTTGGACTAAGCTGAAACGTAGACCTTGCACGTTAAAGACCTGAAATCAGGAGACCGGGAGCGATCTGGACTCATACTGACTTTACAACTTACCTGCTGTTTGGCCTTGGAAAATTACTGCTATCTTCAGTCTCCTCACCTGTGAAATGGGGATAACACCTAAGCAGCGATTATCAAACAGCTTGGTAATATAAGTACTCAATAATGACAGCGGCTGCAACTGCTAACTTCCCCGGTGGTCTTCCCATTCTCGTGGAAGGACAGGGCAGGAACAGATTTTCTTCCAACCAGCGCGGAAGCATATCAGGTTTGCCAAGGACGAAAAGGCCCCGCCCGGCGCGCGCCGCACAGATCACCTATGCACACTGCAGTCGTGTGGCTCACTTGGGTCGCTGAAGGATGGAGGGCGCGATCGATGACAGTCCGGTCCACAGGCAGGCCTAGACAGGCTCGTGCGAACCGAAGCAGAAACTCACCGAAAACCAGGCCGCACTAGCACCCGACTCCTCCAGAGGCAAAGCCTTGGGGGGAGGGAAAAAAAAAAAAAAGTGAAAGGAAGCCGGAAGTGACGTGAAGCTGTGAGGACCTGGAAATGACAGCAGCACGCCGGAAGTTTACTCGTTTCCCAGGCGACGGCTCCAGGCAGCCGGAGTCGGGACGCTGGAAAGCGACCCGGAGGAGAGGGTACCCGCCGACGGCGGCCGCCGCGACAGCGATTCGCGGGGAGCAGTGTGCGAAGATGGCGGCCGCCGCACTAGCCACCAGGTTTGGAAGATAAATCGTCCCCAGGGCCGTCGCGGCGCCGAGTCTCAAGAAAGACTTAGAGAAGACCAGGGCTCCCGCAGCGACAGCGGGGAAAGAAAACGCGAAGACAAGGACTGCCGCTCCCGGGGCTCCACGGGGAGAGTAAGTGAGGACGTGGGCTTCTCCCGCAGGGACTCGAGAAGGGTGAGCGAAGACCTAGGCCACCGCCGCAGTGTCTCTCGCGAGAGAGTGCGGGGAGATGGCCTCCGCCGTCCCAGCAGCTCGCGGGAGAGAGTGAGGGGAGACCGGGGCTTCCGCAGCAGCGACGGGAATTTTAGTGAACCTGGCGGCCACCAAAGTAGCGACTCCGGGGAAACAGTCAGAGAAGATCGCGGCCCCCGTCCAGTTGGTGGCTGGGAGAGAATCGGTGAAGTCCGGAGTTCCCGGACCGGCGACTCCCGGCAGAAAGTCAGTGAGCACCGCACCCGCAGCCTCAGCGGCTCCTGGGAGGGAGGCAGTGTCGACGGCAGCCACAGCCTCAGTAGCTCTTGGGATGGAGTAAGTGAAGACCGCGGCTACGCGGCCAGCGACTCCTCCGGGGTGACCGTCAGCGAGGACGCCAGCCGCCGCCTCAGTGGCTTCTGGGAGAGAGAAAGTGAGGACGAAGGCTCCCGCACCAGGGGCTCTTGGGAGAGAACAGGGGAAGACGGCGGCGCCCGCGCTAGCGATTCCGAAGGGGACGGCCGCTCGCAGCGCAGTGCGTCGTGGGTGAGAGCCAGTGAGGACCGCCGCAGCAGCAGGGGCCTGGACTCCACCCCGCCCCAGAGTCCGAGGAGTTGCACCATGCCCACGGCGGCCAGCTCAGGCCCTTCTGCTTCTGCTTCTGCGCGGGAGACTGCAGGCTCCTGTGAGTCGGACCGTTGTGTTGCCCTGGTCTGTGTCGCACTCCTTCTCTGACTTCGGCCCCATCAGCCACGGTCCTGTCTGGCACACCGTGTTCTCAGCTGTCGCTCCTCCCTTTCCTCCCCTGTATTTGTTTTCAGTGTGTCCCGGAGCTGCACACCAGTCCTCTATCCTCCGTGAGCTCAGCTTTCCCCCTCTTTTCATCCGCACCATTCCTCTGAGGCTGCTGCTTTTTTTTTTTTCCAGTGAAGAGAAGTTTAATATGTATTCAAAATCAAATATGTAACATTGAAACACTCGACTGCACATGTACTGTATAAATATGAAGACAGGGAACAGAGTGTAGGCATTCATAACATACAGACTTTATTGCATTTTCCAACTTCATTAGAATGCTAGTGATCATGAAGAATAAGGCAGCGTACTGAGAATTAAAACTATGATTGATGATTCAGGCAAAGGAGAAAGTAGTAGCATATGCATTTGTAATTTTGTTTAAGGAATTTAGAGGACTATGAGGAACAAAGCAATCCATCAGAGCAGCCAACAGAAAGATGAAATTTGACCCAATAGCAGATATTCCTCCTCCTATATGAATTTGGATACATAAATTCTCCCCACTGAAACTTATATCTACCACTTGAAAATAGATGGAGAATTTAAAAATCGATTGAAATAGTACAGAAATAATATTTCTCAAGCTACAATTTGGAAACTGTTTTAAAGACATAAATGGTAAGGAATTAAGACAATGATGCTTTCTATCACTGGCTACTAGAACAGAAACCAGCACAATTAGAATGAATAAAAACAAACAGTATCAATAGGCAAAAGAGGAATGGCATTTAGTGAATTGTATATGCATGGAAAAGACCTATATATGTAAATATATCTAAATTATTGATATTGTCCTATGACATTTCCCTATATTCCCTGCCAGTACATTTGCACACACCATCCCCTAAGTTCCATAGTCTTTTCTTAAAGCTCTACTAGTTGCCTTTCACACTGCAGATGGATGTGCTTTCCACATGGAACAATCCCCTTCCTAGCGCATTAGGTAGTATGGTCCTTTTAGTCATTCTTACGGCATTATGCACATTATGTACAAATGTGCATTATGGCACTTGTCAGAGTTTTAACAGTGTCTGCTCATGATTGCATTCACACACTCAGAAACTATTACATAAGAGATTCCTAATAAAAGTTTAATAAATCAATGAGTAAATAAATGGTATGCTAGAAAGTGCTTCTGTTGTATCTCTTGCAAAGAAATTGTAAGACATCAGCTTTGTATAAAATGCCATGGGGATCATGTTGGGTTTATTTTTTTCCCCTCAAAGAAGCCTTTTATTTAATGAGTACAAATTTCATTAAGTCCAACTTTAAGAATATAGTGATTCTTCCCACTATACCGGCTCTCCTACCCATACTCCCATCCAACCACTTCCTCCCTCTTCCGTTCCCAGTTCGATTCTCCATTAAGATTCATTTTCAATTAACTTTGTACACAGAAGACCAACTCTATACTAAGTAAAGATTTCAACAGTTTGCGCACACATACACATACACACACACAACTGTTTGAGAACAAGTTTTACAGTTAATTCTCATAATACAATTCATTGAGGACAGAAGTCCTGCATGGGAAGTAAGTACACAGTGACTCCTACTGTTACTTAAAAATTAACACTCTTATGTATGACATCAGTGATAACCCGAGGTTCTTGACATGAGCTGCCAAGGCTATGAAAGCCTTTTGAATCCACAAACTCCATCAATATTTAGACAAGGCCATAAGCAAAGTGGAAGTTCTCTGCTCCCTTCAGAGAAAAGTACATCCTTCTTTGATGGTGCCTTCTTTTTTTTTTTTTTCTCTATTTTTTTATTTTTTTGACAGGCAGAGTGGATAGTGAGAGAGAGAGACAGAGAGAGGTCTTCCTTTTGCCGTTGGTTCACCCTCCAATGGCCGCCGTGGCCGGTGCACTGCGGCCAGCGCACCGCGCTGATCCGATGGCAGGAGCCAGGTACTTCTCCTGGTCTCCCATGGGGTGCAGGGCCCAAGCACTTGGGCCATCCTCCACTGCACTCCCTGGCCACAGCAGAGAGCTGGCCTGGAAGAGTGCCAACCGGGAAAGAATCTGGCGCCCTGACCGGGACTAGAACCTGGTGTGCTGGCGCCGCAAGGCGGAGGATTAGCCTAGTGAGCCGCGGTGCTGGCCAATGGTGCCTTCTTTATACACTGGATTCTCTTTTACAGAGATCCATCATGTAGGACATTTTTTGTCACAGTGTCTTGGCTTTCAGTGCCTGAAATGTTCTCATGGGCTTTTCAGCCAGACCAGAATGCCTGAAAGGGCTAATTCTGAGGTCAGAGTGCTATTTATTTATTTATTATTAAAGATTTATTTATTTATTTGAAAGGCATAGTTACAGAGAGGTAGAGGCAGAGAGAGAGAAAAAGAGAGAGGTCTTCCATTCGCTGGTTCACTCTCCAATTGGCTGCAACGGCCAGAGCTGCGCTGATCCGAAGCCAGAAGCCAGGAACCAGGAGCATCTTCTGGGTCTCCCATGTGGATGCAGGGGCCCAAGGATTTGTGTCATCTTCTAATACTTTCCCAGGCCATAGCAGAGAGCTGGATCAGAAGTAGAACAGCCAGGATGCTAACTGGCGCCCATATAGGATGCTGGCACTGCAGGCGGCTACCTACTATGCCACAGTGCCGGCCCCCAGAGTGCTATTCAAAGTGATCATCATTCTATGAGTCTGCCATGTGGACTGCTTCCCATGTTGGCATGTTCTCTCCTTTTTAATTCTATCTATTATTATTGCCAGATACTTGATCTTATTTATATGAGCCCTTTAACACTTAATCCTATCTTTATCATCATATTAACAGTTAATATGGTCACTTTAACACTTAAAATGGCATTTTTACCATCCAGCTTAATGGGATTTGGGGTCCTATGGGAAGTTTTTAAACTGTACCCTTAGAAGTCCATAGGAATGTATGCAGAACTATACAGCTTTAAAGTTACAAACTTCTCCTCCCTCTCTTATTCCCACTCTTATTTTTTACTGAGATATTTTCAATTGATTTTACTACACTTGATTTTAGCCAAAAGGCTGAGACGCGATCAATTGATTTTATACACACAGATTAACTATATTAAGTAAAGAGTTCAACAAATAGTATGAAGGAAAAAAAAAAACTTCCTCAACTATTCAAGTCATTGCTTTTTGATGTGTTAATTTCACTTCTACAGATTTCCTTTTGGGTGCTCTATTAGTTATCACAGATCATGGAGAACATATGGTATTTGTCCCTTTGGGACTGGCTTATTTTAGTAAGTATGATGTTTTCCATCATCCATTTTGTTGCAAATGACCAGATTTTATTTATTTATTTATTTTTTTACTACTGTGTAGTATTCTACAGAGTACATATCCCATAATTTCTTTATCCAGTCTTCAGTTGACAGGCATTTCAGTTGACTCCATGCTTAGCTATTGTGAATTGAGCTGCAATAAGTATGGGGGTGCAGATAACTTTTATTTGCTGATTTCATTTCCCTTGGGTAAATTCCCAGGAGTGGGATGGCTGGGTAATATGGTAGGTCTACATTCAGATTTCTGAGTATCTCCAAACTATCTTCCATAGTGGCTTTACCAGTTTACATTCCTACCAGCAGTAAATTAGGGTGCCTTTTCCCCCCACATCCTCACTAGCATAGCATTTATTGTTTGTTGACTTCTGTATGAAAGCCATTCTAACTGGAGTGAGGTAAAACCTCATTGTGGTTTTGATTTGCATTTCCCTGATGGCTAGTGATCCTGAACATTTTTTCTTGTGTCTATTGGCCATTTGTTCTTTTGAAAAATGTCTGTTTAAGTCCTTTGCCTATTTCTTCACTGGTTTGTTTGTTTTGCTGTAGTGGAGTTTCTTGATCTTTTTATATATTCTGGTTATTAATCCTTTATCACTTGGATAGTTTGCAAATAATTTCTCCTACTCTGTCAGTTACTTCTTCACCTTCCTGAGCATTATTTTTGCAGTACAGAAGCTTCTCAATTTTATGGAATCCCATGTGTTAATTTTGGCTTTGATTGCCAGTGCCTCTGGGGTCTTTTCCAAGAACTCTTTGCCTGTGCCAATATCTTGCAAGGTTTCCCCAATGTTTTCTAATAATTTGATGGTATCAGATTGTAGAATAAGGTCTTTAATCCATTTTGAATGGATTTTTGTGTAAGGTATAAAGTAGGGGCCCTGCTTCATACATCTGCTTGTGGAAATCCAGTTTTCTCAGCACCATTTGTTGAAGAGACTGTCCTTATTCCAGGGATTGGTTTTAACTGGTTGGTCAAACATAAGTTGGTTGTAGATGCTTGGTATGATTTCTGGTGTTTCTATTCTGTTACATTGGTCTGTGCATCTGTTTTTGTACCAGAACAGGCAGGCTGTTTTGATTATAACTGCCCTGTAGAATATCTTGAAATCTGGTATTGTGATGCCTCTGGCTTTGTTTTTGTTGTATAAGATTGCTTTAGCTATTCGAGGTCTCCCATGTTTTGATATGTATTTCCTATAGAATTCCATATGTATTTCTGCATCATTTTTTCTAGATTGTAGAAGAATGTCTTTGGTATTTCAATTGGTATTACATTGAATCTGTAAATTGCTTTCAGAAGAATGGACATTTTGATGATATTGTTTCTTCCAATTCATGAACATGGAAGACTTTTCCATTTTTGGTGTCTTCTATTTCTTTCTTTAATGTTTTGTAATTCTCATTGCAGAGATCTTTGACATACTTGGTTAAATTTATTCCAAGGTATTTGATTTATTTGTAGCTGTTGTGGATGGGATTGATGTTAGAAGTTCTTTCTCAGCTGTTGCATTGTCTGTGTATATAAAGTCTGTTGATTTTTGTGCATTGATTTTGTATCCTGGTATTTTACCAAACTCTTCTATAAGTTCCAGTAATCTCTTGGTGGAGTCTTTT